ATGTATCAACGAACACTCCATTTTCATTACCCATTTGTTTGTTGACGGGCACTTAGTCTGGTTCCATAATGTGGCTATTGTGAATTGCACTATTGTAAACACTGTTATTCATGAATCACTATAGGATGCTTATAGTATGCTTGATTTTAGTTCTTTTGAATAAATACCAAGAAGTGGAATAGCTGAGTAATATGGTGGTTCCATTCCTTATCTTTTGAGGAATCTATGACTACTTTCCAAAGTGGTTGTACCAATTTGCAGTCCATCAACGATGTCTAAATGTACCTTTTCCTGTATTCTCACCAGCAATTTTTATTTGTATTCTTGATGATTGCCATTCTAACTAGAGTTGAACACACATATCAAGTGCCTGCCAACATGCATGCACTCTTTTCCCTTCTGTGTGTGTATGTGTGTAAACTGAACTAACATCTTGTGAATTTTCACACTCTTAGATGAACCTGTCAGAGATGCAGGTGGCTCAAACTTCCACATGAACTAGACTTAAAGCAAACAGAACAGAAAGGTTTAGCCTGCCCCTAGTAAGGAGCTCCTTCAGTGGGGAAACAGCAACTATGGAAAAGGGAATCCTGTCCTTGTTCCATAGCTCTCCCTCTTTGTGTATATAAAAATGTATTTAAAAATGCCAGGAAGATTCTGGTTATTTTCCTGACCTTCAAAATTACCCTGCTCCTTGATATATGTGCAGTAGCACTGACATTATATCTGTGACCTTTAAAATAGCAAGATTTTCTCAACACTGAAGGCAGCTTAATTAACAAAGGAAGTTTTTGAACCTCAAACTCACTTGCTTAGCCTTCCCACGTCTGGGTCTAGTTTCAGCCTCTTCCAGGTGACTCAAGAACATTTCTATCATTTCTTAAAGAAACGATAATGAGAGAACAAGAGACACTTAGATTCAAGCCCTCACCCACACAGCAAATGCTTCTTTGTCTTCTTAGTGCCCACAGGGTAAAGGCATGGACAGGGAGTTCTTGAAACTGGTACTTGTCGCCTGGAACACACCCTGCTGGTAGTAAACAGCATTTTCCTTGACAGGCCCCAAACTCCTGGCAAAGCTTCTCAAACTGTGGTTACTTCTTATAGCTCAATAAAATGCAGATTCCCTGCCCTACCTGAAGCACACAGATCATACCTGTCTCTAGGATCAGGCTTGGGAATCTGCATGTTCTCAAGTTCCCTAGGTGTTTCTTGTATACCCTGAAATTTGAGAGTTGTATTAGGGAAGCATCCTTTCTGATTCAGATTGTTCCAGGAAGGATCTTTTCTATTTTAATGAAAGATGAGTTTTGAAGGTTCTTACAGGAGAAAAGCCAGAGAGGGAGAAAAGGCAGGCAGGGAGAGAGAAAGGGGAAGAAAGAGGGAAGGAACTGAAAGCCGAGATGTAGTCAAATCTTACACTTTGAGGAGCACTGATCTAGGAGCCCTGGGAGATTTCCTCCTCTCTTCCATCTCACCCCAGCACAGTCCGAAGGATTATTTCAGTACAGTGTGGCTTTGGGCAGCTTCCAAAATGTAGCTGCCAATGGTGGCAGCTCAGGTGATCTGACAATGCTCAAATTCCTCAGCATCTGCACCTAGGCTAAAACTGCAATATCTGTTCTAAGTTCACCTCTTCTCCAGGACTGACAAACTAGGACCTAACAGGTCCAGGAGCTTGACTGAACTATCTACCCATAAGCTGACAGTATTCTTCTGAAATCCTTCAGTTCGATATTTTGCAGAAAATGAGTGATAGCACACGCAATTCAGAATCACCATTTTACTGCCCTATAAATATAATTTCCTGCCTCCTTTCTCCTCTCCTCCAACCCAGCTGCATCATGGGCATAGCACTTCCTCTCTCATATATTTCTATTTGCACATATGGTACAGTGTGACAGCCTATTGATAGTAGTTTCATATTACAGACTTGCAGAATTAGAAAATACTATAGCTGGCAGCAGGCACCCACTGAATATCCACTGTGACATGATGAGTCCATTTACTTTCATCAGCATTCGCCTGAGTGCTCTCTGTTGATCTTGCTTTGCAGTCACTTTGGCCACATGGCCCCAAAAGGGGCCATTTCTACAGAATTCTACTTTATTGTGTTGAGAACAAAACTGCTTCTCTTTCTTTTTATTTTCCTAGCCTTAGAGGAGCTGAGATGTGCATAGGGCCAGAAGGGAACTGGAGTCATTGGTTTAATGAAAACAACTGAGAATCACTGCTTAGTCCAATTCCATTTAATTGAGAACATTTGCATCTGATTTTGTGACAACCTAGAATAACACAGAATTGTGTGCTTTCATCATTCCCTTCAAAATGATGTTCCCCTCAAGTTGCTGCATTGGAGAATCACGAACAATGACACTCAGCACACCTGGGCTATTATTGAAGGTTAGCACACAAATGCTGCAAAAGTCACTGACCAAAATTTCTAAGTGATTCTTTGGTAAAAGGGAATAAATTATTCTTTTATTTATTTTTTATTCCTTTGATTTTTGATTCATAAAATAGTGTTTAGTTAATAGAAACAATAAAAATGGAAATTTGGTGTTATCATCCTAAAAAGCTACCTTTGTATTTTGAATTATTGTTGTGTCCTGGTTTGCAAAGCTGACATAAGCACTTAAAATGTTTATTTATAAATACTGTCAGTTAATCTCAAAATATTTTTCAAGCTTTTAAGCATATTTCTTTTACTTAACCTGCTTAGAAACATACAACTTTACCTCAACACTTAATCATGCTACAAAAGCTAGACGTGGGCAGAAAATTCCAGCTCTCCTGAGAACAATCATAAATGCTGGTACACTGTTGATTAACATCTGGATCACCTTAAGGGTGTTTGTGAACCAGCAGGAAATAAATTTCTGGAGAAGGCTGTGGACTTGGGGATGGTTACTTTAGTATTTAATAATAAATGGTTTTCAGTTGATAGAAAAATATTGAAATCTGACTTATATATATGAGGCTGATTCAAATTTGATAAACATGTCCCCAAAGGAAATTACTGTGTTTATTAAAAGCCTAGGAGGGCTGAACAGAATTGCAATAGTCTTATCCTGTAGTCCTTGCTGGAGGTAGAGTAACTGCTCCCCAATCCACCTTCCAGCCAACCAGAGAAAAGTCAATAATAAGGACAGAGTAGGACAGTTCTTAGCCTAAGTTACAAGTAGCTATGAACTGCCAAGATACCCAGGGCAAGCTGTCGTCTACAAAGTCAGTGTGGCTGCCTCGCTAGTAAGATGTGATGTGTTGATGACTGTTATATTACATCTAAAATCCCATTTACTAGTAATAGAAAAGTTCACTTAAGACTTTTGCCTCATGTCTCCTTGTGCTTGATATAGCGTCTGTGTGATATTACCAATTTTCGCTTCAGGCATACTTACATGCAACAGCAAAGACTTCACAAGAATTTGCACATTAGATTCAAGGTGAAATTATGCCATTTTCATAGCAAATCAACTTTATCTTGGCAGAAAAGTGATAGGTACTTTTGCACCTAGACAAATGTCTTTGTTTTCAAGGAATTTTGAAGAAAAAAAATAGCTGACTTTATGTGGACTATGATCAAGTCATTCTAAGGAAAGACCCAACTGGTAAGAGTCCTGTTGGCTCACTTTCTGATTGTGGCAGCTAGTTCTTTAATCCCTCTTGTTTCAATTTCCTGGGTACATAGAAATAAATAAATAAAAGCAAAATAAGAGTGATGTGAAATCTTTGTCTCCTGTGTGGCACAAAGCTGCTTTGGGAAACCTTCACATATCTAACATCACACAACAAAATGTTTGTAAAAGGGTAAATTGTTGATGTATCATGTGAAATTTCACCTCCATGAGCTTTCCTTCAGTGGAGTTAGAGCAGGGATTTATTCATGCAGCCCTACTGATTTGCAGACTCGGAGTAAATACCAGCCAGGCCTTTTGCAGCGATTACCAAGAGTCTCCTTCAGTAGAGGTGATATATTGCTTTCCTGTATCACATTAAAGTGGGGAACTGAGGAGTGAGCTCAGCTGAGCCATTCTGTACACACCTAGCCAGGCTGCAATTGATATTCAGGCAGAACTGTGAGTAGCTTTCAGAGGAAGACAGGAAGGAAGAGCATTTCTCTGCAAAATTCCCACCAGGAACAGTTTTCTTTTTCTTTTTGTCTTAATGGCTATTTTGTCTTCTCAGGAAGAAAATAGCAGGTACTGTTCTTGTTCTGTAAGGCTGATACCCAAGACTGCTAAGAATCCCTTACATGATTGTGTGTGTGTGTGTGTGTGTGTGTATTCCTTTCTCTACATTTCTATAATGAAGACATAGTATATGACTTTTGATTATTGGCTATACATCAGGAAATAACCAATTTCACTCTCATGAGCAACATCTAACTGAGGCCCATAAAGGACCTGTACTGTTACTACAGGCAAAACTAAAGATAAATTGGAGGAGGAATGATCCATTCATGCCACATTTGGTGGCCACCAGCCATTTCAGTTTTATTTAATACATGTAAGACTTTAACATGGAAGTTTTGCAAATAGAGTGACTGAGCAAGAAATTGTCGGTTGGGATTGAATTTGGGGTTAAGTAGTCAGAGTCTATTTGATTATCAAATATTATAAATATACACATATATATACATACATCTATGAATATTATGTATAAGTTACCGGATTCTGCTAAATTGTTTTAAAATATTAACTAGTAGTTTCCTGTTTTTTTTTTCCCTCCTGGAGGAAGGTACACCTAAGATAGTTGTTTTACCAGCATTATTCTGTCTAATTTTGTTGCCTTTCCAGGAACAGTTTTGAGGCATAGGCATCAAATGCCAGTTTATGTAAAATGTTGTAGATAATAACTTCTAAAAAAGACTACTTGAAATTAAAAGAGATAAATAACAATCATGTTTAACAAGCATATGAGTATCTATACACAGATATACCGGCAAAACACAACAGCAAATATGATGGCTCTGATAGGAATTAATTATGCAGATGTACCAGTGACAGCAGCTCTGTAGATGGTAACACCACCAGGTCTGTAGCTTGAGGGCCCAGCTGTCTTCGAATTCTGGCATAATTTGCTCTGACCTCCACCACTTGCTTTAACTCTGTTAAAAAATTATTTTGAGAGACAAGTCAATGTATTTGTACAAAATAATTAAAAGTCCAGAATGGTTAAAACCTTGACGATCCCTCAGAAATCCTCGGCTCCTACCTTGGACTCTCTCATTACACACTTGACCTGCTTATCACATCAGATATGTGCTAACATTCTTTGGATTTCTATAGAATGGAAGTTGTTATAGCTCTTAGTAAAGGCTGAATTGGAAGCTAACATAGGAATGCTCTAAAAATTGAACCCACTGAAAAGATGAAAGCCAAACCAGTGAAAATCATGTTCAGATTGTATAGCAAATGGCATAAAAGCACTCTTTTAATTTCACTGGGGGCTTGTGTGAAAGAAACCATTTTAATAGCATCTGGTTTGTTTTCCCAAATCATATTCATTTTTCAAAAACCCATTGTGATTTTTTTTGATGACTGACTTCTGAATTCTAAATGTTTTTTGACATTATAGTATATGACATAAGTTATTATACTGTATTTATTTTTGAAACTCCCTGGCTGCTTTATTTTCTTATTACCTAGTACAGCCAGCAGGTCACAGAAAAATCATGTATACAATGATTAATTTTTTAAATATCTCTTAATAAGTATATACATGTAAGAGCATTTCTCTTTTTAAAAACATTCTGAATATTTAGTTTTCTACTGGATGATTATTTCTAACTTTATTCCAGCAAAAACAACAAAGTAAATTTCTAAAGAACAACTGAATTGGAATCTTTGTAATCAATCAAATTTCCTAGAACATATGTGACTCATTGGGAAAAATTCAGACAGTTGGGGAAAACCACCAGTCCTTTCACTATCAATCAACTATTTTCATAGGAAAGGAGTCAACTTTCACATCATAACATTGCATGTGTTTACTAAATTGAAGATGCAAAAATAAATGTTTGCCTACATAGACTTGTCAAAGGTCCAGAGAATTAACATGGAGTAAAATGATAAGGAGAGTAATATTTGCATTTCCAATTTTCTCAATGCCCTTTATATTTTTTATTGGAGACAGGCTTGTTTCTGGGAAGGCAGCCTAGATCTTTCTTTGTGGTTTAGATACACTTTTGGTTAGCTTGCCTGAAGCATATTTAGCCTTATTTATTCAGGTCCAATGAACACAGCATGGCAAGAAGGGTAGGGTAGCCCATCCCAAGTATATGAATGCAAAGCATAAGTAATAAAGGGATTGGGAAGTACTATTCAATTGGCTGTAATCATTTTATGTCTGTTTATACTCTCAAATAGATTGAAAACTTTTCCAGAAAAGGAAGCCTGATTTATTTTTCTTTTTAGACTACGTTCTTTGGGAATACAAAAAAAACTGTCAAATAATACTTACTAATGATAAGAACCCTGCCATTGGTGTGTTCTCCAAAGTAACCACACAGTGTTGGTCACCAAGGGGTAGGGTGATGGATAAGATGGGTTACGGGAACAGCAGAACACAAAGAATACAAAGGAGCCTGCTCTGTGAGATAGGCTGGTACTCAAGGAATATTTGTGACATCCCTCAAAGCAGTCTTAGGCATCCCAATAAATCTTTGTCTCCCTACATTTTGGTCTTCATGTATTGTTTTTGATTCTTCTAGGATAAATGTAAAGGCATTATTCCACTGTTTGAAAAGTTTTTGGCTTACCTACCTTATATAGAACATACTAATACTTTTAGGGTACCTTTTTAAAAGAAGAAATACAATCTTTTTATTTTAGAGATGTTGAGTAATTCACTTCCTAATTTTAAAAATTTCCTTTAAAGTAAAAACAGTATTCTTTGGAATTTCCTGAAAATTATATCTCTTCTAATGTATACCTACCTACAGAAAGGGATTTGAAATTCCTCAGGGTAAAAAGGATAAAACAAGAGTTGATTCCATAATAACTATATGTTCTTTCAATTTCTGTCATTTATCAAAGAAAATGATCAAGGAATAGATAATAAACTTAGCATATATTTACTTATTACTAAAGAAAGAAAATCTGCAAACTGTTTAATTCCTAGTTAAAAAACTTAACTTTCATAACATGAAGCAGAACAATGTGGGGAGCATAATTATTAAAAAAATCATCACAATAGGATGCAAAATTCAAGAAGGAGGGTCTTAGAAGCAAAGATTGGATGCTTTAGTTCTTTAAAATCTTGACAGAAATGAAAAGTGTTTGCCATACCTTTCTGGGTTATAAAGTCATGTCCCATAGACACACAGATGACCATGTCTCGTTCTATGTCATCCCATGACTGAATCAATTCTCCATCTCGGGTGTACAGGGTTCTGGCTGGATGGGTCATTTTAAGACGAGAGGAACAGTTATCTAGCAGCTGAAAGACAAAGGGACACCATATTTGAATACAGGATGTCACAATACGATCAAGTATTAAAGAATCTTAATATTCACTATATAACCTAAAATTATTAGAAATAGGAACATAAGGGAGGGGAAGAAGGTTATACAAATGCTCTCTAAAGTGCCTACAAAACAAGGAACTTCAGTACTTGTCAGTGAGGATTTCCTTGTAGGTCCATGGAAGGAAAGTATCTTGCTATCTAAGGAATCCTCAAATATAACAAACCCTGAATTAAGAATATAGACATCTCAGGCAGGCACAGTGGCATACACCTGTAATCTCAGCAGCTCAGGAGGCTGAGGCAGGTGGAATGCAAGTTCAAAGCCAGCTTCAGCAAAAGTGAGGTGCTAAGCAACTCAACGAGACCCTGTCTCTAAATAAAATACAAAATAGGGCTGGGGATATGGCTCAGTGTTCGAGTGCCTCTGAGTTCAATTCCTGGTACCACCGCCCTGCCAAAAAGGAATATAGACATCTCAAGATGGCTAAAAAGAGAAAAGTTTATTTTTAATAATCAAATAACTAAAGTTACAAAAGATGAGGAGACCCAGGCTCTGGCCTCTGTGTGACCCTCAACAGGTCAGGTAACTACTACAAAAGAGTCTTCTCCATTATAAAATGAAACAATATAATGTAAAACTTTTCTAGCTCTATGATACTATGATCAGAAATTTTCCTTTAGTTGATAAAGCTTAAAACTAGCTACAATGACCTCACTGAACATCTCTGTTTTCCTTGGAATACCCATAAAAACTTACATACAGATGCAAAGTGTCAACAGTACTAGAAAGGTTAATAGAAGCTAATATGTATGTGTATATAGTAGTGCATCATACAGTTGTTACCCCATTTCAGTGGCAGGTGGAGATGGGAGAGATCAGTTAGTAAATAGAGTTGAGAGAATAACTGAAAGTCAACAAATAAAGTGGAGGCAGTATTTTCACTTAAATTTAGCACCAGAAAAAAAATTCTCATATGGCTTTTAAAGTAATAGAGAAAAAAAAAGCACAATTGTTAAAAATTAGAAGAAGAATCGGTGAATCTTTATATGAACTCAGGATGGTAAAGGGCTACCTGAATGTTAAAAACAATGAACAAACAAAGTAAAATTTATTACTTTCTGTACATTAAAAAATTCCACAGATGCAATGGAAAATTGGAAATTTGATACAATGGATTTGATAATGTTATGTTTAATAATTTTACTACATTAAAAGAAGGTTAGGTTATCAATATGAAAAAAAAGCATCTGGGAGAAAATAACAAAGGATTTAATAGGGAACTCAGAGAACTTAGAAATATTATAATGTTATATTGTTCTCCATAATAATAAATGATAACACAAAGCAAAATTAGAATCACCTCTACAAGTAATTTAAGACATATAAGTTAAAACATAACAATAACATTTTTCTCCTGTCCAGCCTGCGAACACGTTTCCAAATCAGTGCACCTAGAATTGTTGACATCTTCATGTATGCCATGGGAGGGAGATGGAAACTGGGAACACAGAACACTGAATCCTCCCTAGTAGCAATTGGTGTCAAAATTCTCAATTATTTTTTGTATACTTTGATTTAGAAATCTTTCTAGGAACATATTTGAGGGAAGTAATCAGAAAGGAGATATAGATTTGTGTATTAATGTGTATATTGCAGTACACTTCATAATAACGAAAATTTAAAAACAATTAGCAAACAACAGAAAACTGGATGAATAAATGCATCCATTGGATAGACAATTATGATGCCATTGAAAATAATGTTTTTTCACAAAACTTCTATGGCTGCTATCCAGCCTGTTAACTTGACAGCAATATCATTTTATATAAATAAAAGGCGAACTTTTATCACAATCAATAATAAACAAATATTATGAATCTCCCAAAAAAAAAAAAAAGAAAATAATGTTTTTTTAAGAATCTTATATTATACGGAGAAAAAGTCACAATAGTTTGAATACACCAACTTTCAAAACTGATTTACCACATGATTTACTATGATCATAATGGTAAAATTTACATATAAATATATACAAAACATAGAAATACATATACATATATTATATACATACATATTAAAATTATAAGAACTGGTTTTTGTGGTGATGAAATTTTTAGTTTCTTATTGGCATTTTCATTTTTTTTTCTAATTTTAAGATAATGACTGTCATTTTATAATTATGAAACAGAATAGATGCTATTCAAATAATCATGAAGTTCATAGTAATTATTTTCAAAAATAAGATTATAGTAAATTCATAGTTTTCATTTGTGATTTTTCAAAATTCTCCATAACAATATTTACCACCTAGTCTGCTCAGACTGTCAAAAACAAACACCACAGAATGAGTGGCTTAAATAACAAAAATATTGTATGGCTCTGAAGATTGGGAAGTCCAAGATTATAATGCTGGTTGAATGAGTTTCTGGCTAGGCTTGCTTCCTGACTTGCAGATGGCCACCTTCTTGCTGTGTCCTCACATGGCATAGAGAAAGATATGGCATTCCCTCTTCTTCTTCTTATAAGGTCACCAATCCTATTTGATTTGGGACCCACCCTTATAATCACCTTCAACTTAAATTACCTCTTAAAAACCCTATCTCCAAATATAGTCACATTGGGATATAGACCTTCAACATATGGATTGGGATTGGTTGGGACATAATTCAGTCCTTAACAGTCACTATCTATCTATCTGTCTGTCTGTCTATCTATCTTCCTTCCTTCCTTTCTTCCTCCTTCCCTCTTTCCCTCCTTCCCTTACCCACCCACTCACTCACTCCCTCTTTCTTTCTCTCTCTCTCTTCAAGGCAACCAAAGGGTGTTATAGCTGGTTTTCATCTGGGCTGGGAGTAGTGGGAAGCTGTCTTAGAAATATGTATAGATAGGTATCTGGAAGAAACTTATGAGGTTGGAAAAGAGCCAATGAAAAATAAATGTAAGAATTATTGGACTGGAGATTATAGCTCATTAGTAGGGCACTTGCCTGGTATGCATGAAGCCCTGTGTTCAATCTCCAGCACCAAATATAAAGAAATAGCACCAATGTACCGTAAATGCAGTGAAACCTATTAATTTGTACAATTAATACATGGTAAAAGAAAAAGAGTACTTTGCCACTTAAATGTCACTACTCTACAAGATCATGTTGTCTACAGAAATCATGTATTCAGAAAAATGAGTAAAGTTTAATAAAAAAATGTATAGTATAGGAAAGAGATGAGTTAAATTTATGTTTATTCCACTTGCTTTTTACTAATGCCCATTTGCATGAGACAAAGCCAGTGAGTTTACAAAAATCTTTTAAAATCAAATTTGAAAATAAGGTATTTTCAGTGCAATTAGGATATAAATATCTCATCAGTTAATGACTGTTAGAGACTTTCTTAAATCTCAGTTTTTCAAATTATCTACATGTGTTCAAGTGCTTTTCTTAAGTGGGTGTGTAAATAAAATGTTTGTAATATTTGCAATAACAAAAGTTCACAGTAAAGGAACAGTGTGCTATAAATAATTTCTCACTCACAATCTATTTTGCGAGTTTAGTCTTCATAGAACAGGTCTCCACAGGGTAGGTACATGGGCCTGTTGGACCACTGCATGCTCCCTATGGGCGTGATGTACTTGACGATCTAAATCAAAAGAACCCATTTCTCATTCTTTCAGAACTGTTCCTCAACTGAGAGAGAACACACTGATTTTGAGATTCTGTAGAATCAAAGAGATTTCTCAGGGACAGGAGAAGACTAGAGGAGCAGGGCCTATATGAGCCTAAATCAGAGAAAGGCGGTCCTGGAGAGAGAGCCACTAACCCTAGATAGAGAGCTGTCTTGGAGCTTCAATGACTGATGAGCCAACACCAGATGGAGATAAGAGTTGCTCTAGTAATGTTCCAAAAGTGTGTGGGAAGAACGCAGTTAAGCCATCCAGAACACCAGTGCAGTGAGAGTAATTGAGAGAAAGTCCACATTGGATGGAATTTGAATATCATCTGGAGCTAGAGTAAAGCATCAATTTCTCATTCTTCCAGTAAAGAACTAATAATTGAAACTCTGAGCATCTTAGAAATCAGTACTATTGGCCAGGGAAATTCAAACTCCACTCTTCATGCTGTCCACACACACAGTGCATTTTCCAGGTGCATTCTTAACAGCGTGATAGCCTGATCTAACTGATCAGCAAGAATCTCATGCAGGCCCCTAAGCAGAAATATACTGCATAGATACGGGAAAGGAAGAAACTAGAAACTATTTTTTAATAAAGCAAAGAATCTGTAAATATCTTTCTACATACCAAGGCTACATAATCTCCCCCAAATTGCTTTCCCCATAATATTTCTTTATTCAGAGACAAGCAATGGTTCAAACAGTTAAGTCTGGGACAGTGTTAGGGATTGATTTCGGTTCCCTCAAAATTCATGTAGAAGCATTAATTCCAACTGTGACTGTCTTTGAAGACAGAGACTTTCAAGAGACAATTAAGGTTAAACAAGGGCATGAGGGTGGACCATTGGTTTCCTTACAAGGACAGCAAAAGACACCAGAGCTCTTTCTCTGTCCCTTCTTTCCCCCACCCGCACGTCACATGCAAAGGAGAACTCAGCAAGAACATGACTCTCAGCAGTCCAGAAAGGAAAGCCTCATCAGAAATCAACCCTGCTGGCACCTTGATCTTGGCCATCCAGCTTTCAGAACAATGAAAAAATAAATTTCCATTGTTTAAGCTACATAGTCTGTGGTATTTTGTTATGGCAGCCCAAGCAGATATCAATACATATAATATGTAGGTCCACCATATATTTTTAAGCAATCTACTCAACACATCTGTTCCTATTTCTCAGTCTAAGTACCATCTATTTAATATACATCATGAGCTGGGCACAGTGGCCCAGTCTTTACTCCCAGCTGAGGTAGGAGGGTTACAAGTTTGAAACCATCCAGATTACCCTAGGGACACCCTGCCTAAAAATAGTAAGTGTAGCTCAGTGCCTCTGGGCTCAATCAATCAATAATAATAATAATAATAATAATAATAATAATAAATCATGAATTCTAACACCCTACCTTTGTGAATGGTACCTCTCATCCTTATTAATGCAGTTCTGTCTAAGATGCTGAGTCTTACCCACTTCTCAAGTTCCATCAGAAGTCCTAGCAGATTTCTCTGTAGTCTTCCTTGTCCTCCCCTCCCCTCCTCTGAATTCCTACCTGCCTCAGACCCCCTTCTCCTGCACTACTAATTTTACTTTCATCACATTCTTTTAGTACCTCTCAGAAAGGACTATCGGCTTTATTATCACATAAGTTTATCTTACAAAGACAATCTGCATTCATCATTTTAAAAAATGGAGCACATAAAAAAGCATCCAAGAAAGAAAAACAAAAGGTCATGATAATATTACTGTCCCCCAAATACACATTTACAACAACAAAATCTTTCCCGGTTATTTTCAGTTCATGGGCATGTATAAACATAAGAATCTAACTCCACACGCTTTACACCATGCTCCTTTCACTTAATATATCTGGACTATCTTTATTGTCATTTGTTCTAAAAGGTGATTTTAATTGTTATATTTTAATCATTATATTTTACTTATGTAAAATATAGTATTATATTATTTATATTATATTATAATATTATACTAAATAATATTTATATTATATTATTTAAATTATTAATTATGTAAATAATTCACTTAACCAATTCCCTATTGTTGAGTTTTTAAATTATTTCTACTGCATCTCTCTTGTAAATACTTGTGTGATATACATTCCGAACAAACCAACCTTATATAAGTTTGTGAAAATGTCCTTTGAGATAAAGTTCCAGAAATGCATTTTCTAATGAGATATGCAAATAAAAGTCGTACTTTCATCAAGATGAGAGTGCCCATTTCTTTACACATTCAAACCCTAGATATATCTTTGAAAGCTTTGTTAATTGAAATAATAGTTTAATGAGCATATAGACCATATGTTAATTCCATCTACTGTATTAGTACTATTGAGGTCAACCTATCAATTAGACAATACTATTAAGTTTATAAAAACCCTTCTCAAAAATATAAATGAGAAAATCTGGGCATGATGGCACATGCCTATAATTCCAGCATCTTGGGAGTCTGAGGCAGGAGGATAGCAAGTTTGAGGCCAACCTCAGCAATTTAGTGAGGCTCTAAGCAACTTAGCAAGACCCTGTCTCAAAATAAAAAATAAAAAAGGCTGGGAATATAACTCAGTGGTAACATGCCCCTGGGTGCAAAATCCTAGAAACAACAACAACAAAAATTATATAAATATATATAAACTTTATATAAAGTAAATCTTTCTTGGTCCTGGGGTCTTTAATATATATCACTATTATATACATATTATATAATATTATAATATGTATGTGATATATATATATATATGAACAATACTTCATAGACTCTAGTAGTATAGTTCCCTCATATATAAAGTTCATAAAAATCATATGATTATGAAATAATAGTTATGGAGATAAGAGAGCAAATACAGGTAGCAAAAGATTACTTCAAGAGAGATAGAGACTCTGAAAAAAAACAAAACAGTCAGAAATCCTTGAAATGAAAGATATAATAAACCAAATAAAAAATTCAATAGAAAACATAACCAACAGACTAGATCACTTGGAAGAAAGAACGTCAGATAACAAAGACAAAGTATATGATACACTAAACAATCACAGAAATAAAAGTAATTCTTGACTGGATATAAATATATGTGATCTTTGTAAATGTTACTGTAAATTTTTGCTATCGAGAGTCTGATAGGCTAAAGATTTTAGTAAGTAGCTATTAAGTTCATTAGCCTCTCCTGTCAGGGGCTCTGGTAAATTCCCTTTGCTTCAATGAACACTAAAGCCATTAAAAATCATTAGAGTAATAATGATCACTCCATGATCCCTACTCCATTCTTTAACTATTCATTAATCATTGCATATTCTCTTACTAATTTATCACATCTAGTTGCAACGGTTAAATGCATCCTAAGATGTAGAAGCTACAACATTAACTTTGTGATTTCTGCAGAACTAGCAAGGAGGAAACATTTCAGCTTTGTTATAATGTCTTTTCTAGGAAGTTCTCTTCTGAATAAGTTTTAACTTTTTAAAATCATCATTTTCCTTTTATTTCCCCTCCAGGTGTATGAAGTTCCTTTGCTTGTATTCCTCATTTTGAGTATTCATTTTCTGCATTTTTATCTCTGATTTCTCTCAAGTGCAGCAAATTGGTTGTCCGCTTCTGAGATAAGACTGCTTTCATGGCTCTTATTCAAGTCCTTATCAAAGAGGAGTGGTCTCTCTTACACTTTGAAAATGGACCAGCCTTCAGAGGCAAAGCTCATCTGATGGGCTTCTGCTACTCTAGGGCCCTCACCCCTCTAAAGTTCTTCTCAAGGTCACCCTAGTGCACCATCTTGCTTTTCTAGCCCCCACCCAACCTAACCTACATCTCATTTTTATGTGAGTTTCTTTTCCCAGAAAGATTTATGAAAACGCTTCACAAAATAAAGACAAACTATTATTTGAAATATCATAACAAAAGATAAGACTTTTGAAAAATCCATTTATTATGTGCCTAAAGTTTTCACTTACAGATGATAACAAAAATATCAAACTTTATCATTATCCCCCAAGTTGTAAACAATAAATGAACTGCTACTCATCTTTTCCTATGTCATTGTTCTGAGAAGTAGAAATTCGGCCAGTTTAGGTAGGACTCTGGGTGATAAAAATATGCTATGCTTTCTCTAACAAGTACTGATGTTTTCCTTACAACATATTTAGTGAATAATTCATAAAGTATCACTCTTTTGTGAACTGGGTTTACTATGGATGAAAAATATAATTTTAAATTATCTTAAAGTTTGGATTTGACTCAGCTGGAGTATGTTCATTTGGCACTGTTCTCTTCTGGCTATGAGTTGTACTTGGATAAATACATATGTCGGACAGCATTGGACTTGACATTTTCACACATATAAGTTCATTTAATCATCAGATCACCTCTGCAAGAGAAGTATTGTTCCCATTTTACATATGAGAAAATGAGGTTCAGAGAAGTAAAGACATTTGCCTGACCAAACCTCTAGAAAGGTTAGATTGGAATTTGAATCCAGGCCTATGAAAACACTCTTTCACACTTGATTTACCTCTGTAACAGTCCTGCCCCAGGCATAAGTGCCATCTTCAGGTCTTCCTCCATTTAGATAAGCCCAGACTCGTTTTGTGTTGGGTTGCTTGTACAGGCTACTCTGCTGGACTGCTTTATGTTTAGTTGCAACTGGGGAATTTTGTTTGGATTGCAGTTCTTGAACTTCCGAAAGTTGTGCCTGTCAAGAGAAGCCCAGAGAATCCCATGTTTGGAGAATCGGTTAGTGTGTGTAATGATTGTGCTGAAAGTCAGAAATACCATGTAATCATAAATTACACCCAAGATTTTAGTAAGTAACTATTAATTTTATATTGTACTTTTAAATGCATTAGCCTCTCTTGTCATGGATTCTGGTAAATTCCCTTTGCTTCAATGAAACTTTAAATCCATTAACAATCATTGGAGTAATCATAATAAGGTACTCATTTTGGCCAAGTATTTAACTTTCATTTATAACTTGAAGAAATGACAGGATTCATGTCTCTGGACTTCTGCATAGTGTTTTTCCTACTGAGAGATTTCTTTGCATCTAACAAATGAGTTTTTTATTAGAAAAACACCACTTCCTTTAACCAAGAAACGCTTAAGGGAGTGTAGATGAGTGTTGTTTAAGTCCTTACTTGCTGTCTTTTTTAAAAAAAACAGCAGCTACCCTTCTACTTGCCAGATCCCTGCCAGGCAGCTTTTAATCCTACTTCAAGCATGTCCTAGTTCAGTACTTTGCATTTATTCCCTCATCAGTGATTTATCCTTCTTAGCTTGGCAAGAAGTCATATTTCTAGCAATGTCAATTTCTTTTTTCTAGTAACCTTGACTTAGGCACCCACCTAAGATTTAGTTTGAACACATTTAACAAATTTGAGAGACCCTATTAAATAGGAACAGCTCATTTTGATGAAAAACTTCACAAAGCAAAAAAGTTTTCCCCAGTCTCTATCCCCAGTCCTCTCTCTCCAAAGCTGACCTTTCTCTTTTCAACTTTTTAATGTGTGGTGATCCTGACTGATTAACCAATTGTACTGAAACCACTTTTTCAATTCCTCATTTTGAATGTCTCCATTGCAATTAGTATTTTGCTCCTTGCTCTTTTTACATATTGAGACATACCCTCAGGAGTGATGAGCAATGAAGCCATAAGGCTCAACTTGACTACACTTATTACAATTACCTTTGGACATATCCACTGGGCCTTTTTCTCTTCTTTGCTAAGGTCATAATTTCTGGTCTTCATTCAAACAAAACAGACTTTCATATGAGCTGGCTGTCTCTTAGATAGCTACTCTCCAAATGCCAATTCAATGCTTGGCATATGCTTATGTGGTCATAAGTGACCAGATGCTAAGAATATATTAATAGTGTAATTTAAAAATTCAATATTGTACTTTTAAATACTTATAAAAGAGGCAGAGTCTTAAATGTCTGGAATCCTAAAGAACATACCTCTGTGTGTCTTATAAGTTCCATGAGTTTAATTTCCTCTTGAGTCTGCTCAGTCCAGCCTCTTTCAACCACCACAGGATGCACAGGGCTTTTGGTAGGAACCATGGTAGCTGGCTGACATGCAGTTACTCGCCGCCCTGGGGAAAGAAGTCTCTGGAAATGTATCTGATGATAGGCTTTCAGATTTCAAATAAATTGGTTTGGCTTTCTGTGCATAAATTATTCCACTCAGGAGAATAGGCTAAAATACTAACCATATCATAAAAGCAAATATGCCTAAGGTAATAATACCTAACAATACCTCTTCATACAGGAGGCTTGAGGCTTTAAATGGCCAGAATGTGCACACTCACTCTACAGATGGAAAAGAAAGATAACATGCTGATTTCCACCCTGGCCCCAGCCTGGCATCCACGATATGGTTCAGCAGTAATTTAGTCAAATAGAATTCATGACCTTATATAGTCCCCATCATCTCTTCCAGTCTTGGAACATATGTTTTGTTCTCTTCACTAATAATAAGCCTTTCCCCCACAATTAGCTTAGCAGCCTGGAGATTAAGTATTTCTAAAATAATATTAACCCAAGAGACAGGAGCCTTTTTTTTTTCTATTTAATAACACCCCATGAGCACGATTAGTTTCTGACACCTCTGCTGTGCCCTTTATGCTGTTAAGAAGCTGTGGTAAGAGAAAATATTTATCAGAATATGTGTTCTGAAGAATCACAGGCATAATTTGATAAGTGTGGGAATTCAAATTTGTACATTCTTTCAACTAGACCACTTAAAATCATTACAAAAGAGATTTAAAAAGTCACACTTATAAAATTGTTTTCTTTTTCTGTATTGAAGATGCAGCATCACTGAATCTCCACTGATTTCTAAACTTCTTAAATAAGCATAATGTGTTTTTTAATTAATTTTTAATTTACATATGACAGCAGAATGCATTATAATTCTTATTACACATATAGAACACACATTTTCATATTTCTGATTGTACACAAAGTATATTCACACTAATTAATGTCTTCATACATGTACTGTGGATAATAATGTCCATCATATTCCACCATCACTTCTAACCCTATGCCCCCTCCCTCCACTTCCCACCCCTCTGCTCTATCTAGAGTTTGTCTATTACTCCCATGCTCTCCCTCCCTACCGGTCTATGAATCAGTCTCCTTATATCAGAGAAAACAATTCAGTATTTGTTTTTTGGGGATTGGCTAACTTCATTTAGCATTATCTTCTCCAACTCCACCTAGTTACCTGCAAATGCCTTGATTTTATTCTCTTTTATTGCTGAGTAAATATTCCATTGCATATATATGCCACATTTTTTTTTATCCATTTATCTATTGAAGGGCATCTAGGTTAGTTCCACAGTTTAGCTATTGTGAAGTGTGCTGCTTTAAACATTGATGTGGCTGTGTCTCTGTATATGCTGTTTTTAAGTCCTTTGGGAATAGACAGAGGAGAGGAATAGCTGGGTCAAATGGTGGTTCCATTCCCAGATTTCCAAGGAATCTCCATTCTGCTTTCCATATTGGCTGCACCAATTTGCAGACCCACCAGCAATGTATAAGTGTACCTATTTCCCCACATCCTCACCAACACGTATTGTTGTTTGTCTTCATAATAGCTGCCATTCTGACTGGAGTGAGATGAAAGAGTAGTTTTGATTTGCATTTCTCTAATTGCTAGCAATGATGCACATTTTTTCATATATTTGTTGATTGATTCTATATAATCTTCTGAGAAATGTCTGTTCAGGTCCTTGGCCCATTTATGGATTGGGTTATTTATTTATTTATTTATTTGTGTATATATATATATATATATTTTTGTGCTTAGCTTTTTGAGTTCTTTGTGTACCCTAGAGATTAATGCTTTATTTGATGTGTGAGGGGTAAAGATTTGCTCCCAAGATGTAGGCTCTCTATTCACCTCACAGATTGTTTCTCTTGATGAGAAGAAACTTTTTAGCTTAATACCATCTCATTTATTGATTCTTGATTTTAATTCTTGTGCCACAGGAGTCTTATTAAGCAAATTGGAGCCTAACCCCACATGATGGAGATTAAGGCCTATGTTTTCTTCAATTAGATGCAGGGTCTCTGGTTTTATTCCTAGGTCTTTGATCCATTTTGAGTTAAGTTTTGTGCATGGTGAGAGATAGGAGTTTAATTTCATTTTGTTGCATATGGATTTCCAGTTTTCCCAGCACCATTTATTGAAGGGGCTATCTTTTCTCCAATGTATGTTTTTGGCGCCTTGTCTAATATATGATGAGAGTAATTTTGTGGGTTATTCTCTGTGTCCTCTATTCTGTATCATTGGTCTACCAGTCTGTTTTGGTGCCAATACCATGCTGTTTTTGTTACTATTCCTCTGTAGTATAGTTTAAGGTCTGGTACAGTGATGCCACCTGCTTCACTCTTCCTGCTAAGGATTGTTTTAGCTATTATGGGTCTCTTATTTTTCCAGATGAATTTCATGACTACCTTTTCTATTTCTATGAGGAATGTTATTGGGATTTTGATTGGAATTGCATTAAATCTGTATAGTGCTTTTGGTAGTATGTTCATTTTGATAATATTAATTCTGCCTATCCAAGAGCAAGGTAGATCTTTCCATCTTCTAAGGTCTTCTTTGACTTCTTTCTTTAGGGTTCTGTAATTTTCATTATATAGATCCTTCACCTCTTTCGTTGATTCCCAAGGTTTTTTTTTTTTTTTTTGGCTATTGTTAAGTGGTAGTTTTCCTCATTTCCCTTTCAGAGGATTTGTCACTGATATACAGAAATGCCTTTTATATATGGGTGTTGATTTTATATCCTGCTACTTTGCTGAATTCATTTACTAGTTCTAGAAGTTTTCTGGTGGAACTTTTAAGGTCTTCTAGGTATAGAATCATGTCATCAGCAAATAGTGCCAATTTGAGTTCTTCTTTTCCTATGTATATCCCTTCAATTTCTTTTGTCTGTCTGATTGCTCTAGCCAGTGTCTCAAGAACTATGTTAAATAGTAGTGGTGAAAGAGGCATCCTGTCTTGTCCCAATTTTTAGAGGAAATACTTTCAAATTTTCTCCATTTAGAATGATGTTGGCCTGGGGCTTAGCATAGATAGCCTTTACGATGTTGAGACATGTTCCTGTTATCCCTATTTTTTCTAGGGTTTTGAACATGAAGGGGTGCTGTCAAAAGCATTTTGTCAAATGCTTTTTCTGTGTCTATTGAGATGTTCATATGATTCTTATCTTTAAGTTTATTGATGTGGTGAATTACATTTATTGATTTCCATATGTTGAACCAAACTTGCATCCCTGGGATGAATCCCACTTGATTGTGATGCATAATCTTTTTGATATGTTTTTGTATTTGATGTGCCAGAATTTTACTGAGAATTTTGCATCTATGTTTATTAGAGATATTGGTCTGAAGTTTTCTTTCTTTGATGTGTCTTTGCCTGGTTTTGGCCACATAGAATGAGTTTGGAAGTGCTGCCTCTTTTTCTATTTCCTGAAATAAATTGAAGAGTATTGGTATTAGTTCTTCCTTAAAGGTCTTATAGAATTTGGCTGTGTATCCATCTGGTCTTGGCTTTTCTTGGTTGATAGACTTTTGATGGAGTATTCTATTTCATTGCTTGAAATTTATCTGTTTAAATTTTGTATATCATCCTGATTCAATTTGGGCAAATTATATGACTTTAGAAATTTATCAATGCCTTCAATATTTTCTATCTTATTGGAGTACAAGTTTTCAAAATAATTTCTAATTATCTTCTGTATTTCTGTAGTGTCTGTCACGATATTTCCTTTTTCTTCATGTATGTTAGTAATTTGAGTTTTATGTCTCCTTCTTTTTGTTAGCATGGCTAAGGGTTTGTCAATTTTATTTATTTTTTCAAAGAACCAACTTTTTGTTCTGTCACTTTTTTTCAATTGTTTCTTTTGCTTCAATTTCATTGATTTCAGCTGTGATTTTAATTATTTCCTGTCTTCTACTGCTTTTGGTGTAGATTTGTTTTTTTCTAGGGCTTTGCAATGTATTTGTTGTTGCAATGTATTGTTAAGTCATTTATTTGTTGACTTTTTCTTCTTTTAAGGAATGAACTTTCCTCTTAGAACTGCTTTCACAGTGTCCCAGAGATTTTGATATGTTGTATCTGTGTTCTCATTCACCTCCCCAATTTTTTAATCTCCTCCTGGTGTCTTCTGCAACCTATTGTTCATTCAGTAGCATATTATTTAGTCTCCAGGTGATGGAGTAGCTTTTATTTTTTATTTTATCATTGATTTCTAATTTAATTCCATTATGATCTGATAAAATGCAGGGTAGTATCTCTACCTTTTTGTATTTGCTAGGAGTTGCTTTGTGGCATAATGTATGATCTATTTAAGAGAAGTTTCTTCTATCAGCTTTTGTTTGAAAGATCTTATCTAGTGATAAAAAGGTTTGTTAAAGTCACCCAAAATTATTGTGGTGTGGTCTATTTGACTTGAGAAGAGTTTGTTTGATGAACATAGATGCTCCATTGTTTGGGGCATATATATTTATAATTGCTAAGTCTTGGTGAATGGTTTCCTTGAGCAGTATGTAGTGTCCTTCTTTATCCTTTTTGATTGACTTTATCTTGAAGTCAACTTGATTTGATATGAGGATGGGAACCTGTTTGCTTCCGCAGTCCATGTGAGTGGTATGATTTTTCCCAACCCTTCACTTTCAATCTGCAGATGCCTTTTCCTATGAGATGAGTCTCCTGGAGGCAGCATATTGTTGGATCTTTTTTTTTTTTATCCAATCTGCCAGTTTATGTCTTTTGATTGGTGAATTTAGGTCATTAACATTCATGGTTATTATTGAGACAGGATTTTTATTCCCAGCCAGTTTTGTTTACTTTTAGTATTTAATGTGACTTGGTTTCTCCTCTGAATAGATTTTCCTTTAGTGTAATACCTACCTCTGCTGATTTTCATCATTGTTTTTCATTTCATCTTCAGGGAATATTTTGCTGAGGATGTTCTCTAGTGCAGGCTTTCTAGTTGTAAATTCTTTTAACTTTTGTTTAGGATGTTCTCTAGTGCAGGCTTTCTAGTTGTAAATTCTTTTAACTTTTGATTTCATCATC